CTCTTGCCTACCTGTGATCTCTGTCTGTCAAATAAATAAATAAAACCTTAAAAAAAATAATGAGCAACCAGAATAGCAGAAAGACTAGATTTCCCCTTTCCCTGCTATTCCAGAAGAAATCCAACCCCCTTTTTTTTTTTAAGATTTTATTTATTTATTTTGACAGACAGAGATCACAAGTAGGCAGAGAGGCAGGCAGAGAGAGAGGGAGAAGCAGGCTCCCCGCTGAGCAGAGAGCCCGACGCGGGGCTTGATCCCAGGACCCCGGGATCACGACCCGAGCCGAAGGCAGAGGCTTTAACCCACTGAGCCACCCAGGCGCCCCAGAAATCCAACCCCCTCTTTAAGGGTTTCCTGGCAGATGTCCTCCTCCCAGATGACTGGAGGATGGATGTGTCTGCTGGTGGCAACAGCTTTTTCCATGGAGGAAGCTGGGTCAACACAGATATAGCCCAGATGAGTAGGGAATCCAGTGTATAGTTAGCTGGCTCTTTGATGACCCTAAGTTCCTGTGCATTAGAACAAACTCTCTTCCTGGCTTCCCACTGCCTTGTCCTTTCCCAAGCGATCTCGAGTCACAAGGGCAAGGTCTGGTTTTACTGACGGCTCCCAGCCTCTCCCTTAGGGAAGGGAGCGCATGTGTTCACTTTTTCCAGTGGTCTTCTCAGTCTGATTTAATGGATATACCAGGACGGATGACACATCAACATGGCATCTTTCTTTCTTTTGCTTCTTGGGTAATTGTCCTATTAACAGCTGTTCCAGGCAAAGGAGAGGGAGAGCATGCCAGGGGAAGGGAGGAGGGTGGCATCCTAGGTGAAGGACACGCCCTGGATTTTACATGGTTAATCAGTGGGAAGTAGGTTTGCACCTGCTCAGACTTGATCTGGAATTCTCGACGGAGTGGAAGACAATGTTTTGATCCCCGCTCCCTGCTATGGAGTACGAACTATCCCGGACAGGCTTACCTGCCTGCTGTTGATTGAAACCGTCTCTACGTCTAGATTCTCCTCAATCCTTGCAACAGGTGAGCAATTCCTTGTCTTTCCCTCTTCCTTCCCACCCTTTAGTAAGCGCTAAGCAGGACTTGATCTTGTCACTCTTTAACCCAGTTAAACAGTTCCTGATCCACCTCGCACTGAACGCTCAAATAATTGGCACAGTGAAGCTGGCAGGCAAAAGAAAATGAAGGGGACAGTGTGGGCACGAACAAATGACTTTTCCACACCTCTCCCACCCCTTTTCTAGGGATTAACACAGAGACCTTCCTCTCCTCGGTGTCTGTGCCTCCCTTGACACCCAGGACCCCAGAAAAGAAAGGGGAGGAGAGGATGGGTGGGACGGCTATCCCAACAAATTTTGAGTCATTAAAAGCGACCAAATGATTTTAAGCTTTCCAAGTGACATGACTGTGTCACATGTTAGCTCCCCAGGGTGGCCTTCAACCTAGGGCTGCCATTTCATTTCAGTGAATATTTACTTGATTTGACTTCACATTAGTTTTGTGTCCACTGTAAGACTTTTTAATTTTTTTTTAAGATTTTTATTTATGTATGAGAGAGAGAGAGAGAGCATGAACAGGGAGGAGGTACAGAGGGAGAGGGAAAAGCAGACTCCCTGCTCAGCAGGGAGCTCCGTACAGGACTCAATCCTAGGACTCTGATCATGACCTGAGCTGAAGGCAGATGCTTAATCAACTGACTCACCCAGGCGCCCTAGACTTTCTTATCCCATGCATTTGGTAACCTGCTATGTGGCTCAAAAGGAACTTGGAAAATACAAGTGGACCTGTCTAAAACACCAGTTTTGTTGGTGCTAAAGTTTCCCATAGGTTAGAGAATCACCCAGTTCTTTTTTTTTAAATTGTGTCAAGGTTTAAAATTGTTCTGTATTTGCTGGGTCAAACAAACGACACTCTATTTTTTTAAAAAATATTTATTTATTTGACAGGGATCACAAGTAGGTAGAGAGGCAGGCAGAGAGAGAGGGGGAAGCAGGCTCCCCGTCAAGCAGAGAGTCCGATGTGGGGCTCAATTCCAAGATGCCAATACTATGACCTGAGCCGAAGGCAAAGGCTTTAACCAACTGAGCCACCTAGGCGCCCCAACACTCTCCTATTTTCTCCGAAGTCTTGTATTTAAGCCCTGCAACTTTAGTCTAGCTTTGGTATTGTTCAGTTCTATGATTTTTAAATATTTCTTTCTTAACCCCGTTGGTATATTTTTAGAGATAACAAAGCACACCTCAGTTTCTCCTCTTATCCAACAGGAGTATTCCCATGGTCTTATTAATTCGGGGGCTGAATGGTCTCCCATTTCCTTGGTAACTTCCCATACCCTTCCAAGACCACATCTCTTCCATGTATTAATTTCTGCTTTTAGCAGGACCTTCTAATGACAGGCCTTCCTGCTGGAGTTCTCCTTCAATTACTCAGTATTTATTGTCAACTTTGATCCTGGCACTGTTCTAGGTTTTGAGGACTCAACAGTTAACGCACAGAATTCTAGTCCTCGTGGAGTTTATATTCTAGCATTTACTAGAAGCCAAATAGTAAAACGAGTAAGTAAAACACGTGCTCTCTGAATCAGTCTTTGAAATGCCTAACTACCCCAGCAGTTTGTTAAGGATTCAATGACTGGCCGCTGGTGTACCTTTCTGTATGAATTTTGAAAGTGTTTTATAATCTGTGAACCACCCCAGATTAAGCCTCCCAACTCTCCAAACAGGCGAGGACTACATGTTGTTATCTGAAGAGTTAGCAGCTGGCCTTGTCCTTGTTGTACAAGGACCAGTGATTTCGCCCACTAGATTACGAGAATCTCCCTGGGAGTCAAGAATTTGAGTTGATGCCTCTTTGTCCCACAGCTGGGAACAAAGTACTAGGAACTTCAACTTAGTGATTGCCTAAAGGTGGTCCTGGGATCAACTGTGTTAAAATTACCCGCGTCGTTACTAAGCAGGCGGGTTATCAGGCCGCCACCACAGGGTTAAGTCAATCACGGTCTCTGGAGTGAGGCCTCAGAATCTGCAGGTTTAACAGGCTCCCCCAGGTGAGGCTGGGTATAAAGCAATGTTGAAAAGTCACAAAGATGTCGGCTAGGTGAGATTGGCCAGCACCCGAAATCGAAGAAAGTTCCTGAAAGGCAAAACTAAGCTCCGTGGTCTGGGCGGGCGGGGCAGACGAGACGGGGAAGAGAACTCTATGGGGTGTCCCTATCACTACAAAACTCGCCAGTCATGCCATATCCTTCACACCGTCAACGTCCCACCACCGTGGTGGCAACCCGCCCGCTAGGCCTTTCCCGCAATGCGACCCTTGCCCGCCACTTGCGACGCAACCGTCCCTGACTGGCTTGGGCCACTGTTCCGGACCAGCACAGAGCGGAAGCGGCGATAGCGGTTTCCGCTGCCAGCACCCAATATGGCGGCTCGAGCGTCGCCACCGCGGGGAACACATGCTCTGTGTCCCGCCTCGGCCCCCTCAGGTCTCACTGGGCTTTTGCAAGTCACCGTGGGAACCTTCGGGGCGGGGGGAGAATTCCGCGCTCCGGCAGTGATACCAGCTCTCACCCCCGGCCCTAAGCCTTTATCCCCCAGCCGAGGAATACACTGGAAGCGCTCAGCTTGTACACTTTACTCCGCGCCCAACCTATAGTACCTTGGAAGGCCGACGCACCGCGGAGGGGCCAGAATGCCGGGCAATAAGGCCTTCGCCCCACTTATTGGTGAGCCCACGCCGCGGGGCGGGCCTATGTGCACACTGGGCTGTGGGCCATGTCAGTCTTGGGAAATCGGGAGAGGAAGGAGGAGGCACGCTCAGCCATTGGGCTCTTTTGGCTGTCAATCAAAGTGACATCCGGCGAAGGCCGCAGTCTCGGCTCGTTGATTGGAGAAAGGTGGTCCTAGGAAGGACGCGGAGGGCGGGCTTCCGAGTGAGGTGGGAGGAGGGGGCGGGGAGGGAAGCGGAGGCTGGGGAGCTCTAGGCCGGCCGGTGGTGGCGGCGGCAAGGCCGGGACTCGGGCTGAGAGCCTGCTGTGGCGGCAGCGGCGGACGCTGAGCTCTGCAGCGGGTATCAAGCACATTCCTTTCCCCGACGCCGGTGGGGGGGGGGGGGGTGCAACCCCGCGGGACTGAGGCTTGTGGGGTGAAGGGCGGCGGGGTGGAGCCCAGGGGCTGGAGGCAGGAGGCGGGAACGGACGGGCGAGCGGGGTTCGCGACGGGCCCGGGCCCTGGGCCTGGCAGGGAGGGGCCGCGAAGCCTTGGAGAAAGCCAGCTCCGGGGTGGGTTGGACGGGGGAGGGCTGAGGGCGCGAGAAGGCGTGGTGTGAGGCCCAGGCCTGGAACGGGGTGGGGCCATCGGGACGGAGGGCGGGGTGGGGTTTGGCTGTGAGGGTGGGTCAAGGCCGGCTGAGTCGCACTTGTTCGCTGTTGCCCCAGAAGGGTAGAAGCCGAGACGCCGACAGCGGGCATGGCGATTTGGTCCCAGCCGGACTCGGGTATCCGGGGCGGGGTGGGACTGGGCTCAGACCAGAGGCGTCTGGCCTTCTTCGTCTTTATGGGGCCTTGTCCGGTTTCTCGAACTTGTCTCTTGGGAGGTTTTAGTAATAAATTGCGTGAGAACGGGAGGGTAGTGTTAGCAGGAATTCTGGGTCGTAGTTGTGTTTACTTTAACCAAATAAGGTGTGTGTGTGTGTGTGTGTGTGTGTTCGTGTGTTCGTCCGTCCGTCCGTCCCTGTCCGTGTGTCACTCTTCTCCTTTAGGATGAAGTTGGTAGGTGGGTCACGACAGTGAAGAGAAGAGTTACGTCTTGGTTTATGAGGTTAATGGAAACTCAGAAGTAGAGACCAGAAACTGAAAGGCAGATTTACTCCTTCCCCACTTGGCTATTTAGGTTGAGAACTTGGGTCTTATCCTTCTGCTTTGGCTCAGAAGGTCATATAAATGAAAATATAACCTGCCTATTGCAAATTCTGGGTGGAATAATCCTCCTGCCTCACTGCTCCCCGCCCCCACCCCCAAGACCTCTCACCATCCCCTTCCCCCTTTTAATGTGAGAGATAGGAAAGAGAAACCATATTTTAAAGTTGGGAAAACAAAAGGCATTATTCTGTGGTGAAGTGGTGTCCTGAACGTTGTCCTCATATACTCTTTTCCCATTACTAGTTTCTCTGTTCCCTTTAGAACTGGAAGGGACAGGGATTCTAGGCAGTTTTGTCTTGAGAGATGGAGGATACAACTTTTCTTTAAGTTAGGAAATGGGCTTCTCAAGCTAAAAATAGAAGCTGGGTGGTGTGTGGATGGGGGGGTTGGTAAATCAGACATCATGTAAAATATTTTGGATGCCCCAGGCATTATCTGCTTATCCAAACAAGCTACCTTTTAGGGTATTACAAATTTAGAATCCAGAAAGGGGGATACTTTGTGAGCAGTATTTTTTCTTCGTAGTTCTACTTATAACAGATTTTTGGTTTTTACTTTTCTGAAAGTAATTGACTTATTTTTCAATAAAATACGAAAGTGGCATTTGAATGTGCTTCCTGCCTTCTGCCTTGATCATGGTGTGAAAATTCTGGAATCTTATCCTGTTGCTCTTGTGATTCCCATTTCAGGTTTCTCTGGAAACCCCCCTGGTAAGTGTGGAGGAGGCGGGACACTCTGACCCAAGACAAAAGGCCTGTAGCTCCAGCCAAAGAAAATAAACCTTAGGGAGAAGGAAAAAAAAAAAAACCAAAACAAAACAGCCCGTCAGCTGTTCCTGAGAACAGCCTGCAGTGGAATCTACAGAGGACAACCAATGTGAGTGAGGAAGTGACTGTATGTGGACTGTGGAGACAGTAAGTCACGTGGGCCTTGAGGGCCTGGACTGGGTTAGCAACAGTTGTACACGCTGAGGTGAGGTGCCGAGAAGGGAAAAGTGAATGTGGTCTGGAGAGAGGCCTTGGCTTCACAGGGTGTGCTTTCCTCTGAGGCCATCCGGGAGCTCAGCCCCTGTGTTCTGCCAGGGAGGGATACAGGGTTTGGCCCTGAGGAGGGTAACTTGCTGGCTGGAGCACCAGAGCAGTGGCCTTGATTTGTCTTTTGGAAGATTTAAAAACCAAAAAGCATAAACATTCTGGTCCTTCAGCAATGCTTTCTCTGAAGAAATACTTAACGGAAGGACTTCTCCAGTTCACCATTTTGCTGAGTTTGATTGGGGTGCGGGTGGACGTGGATACTTACCTGACCTCACAGCTTCCCCCGCTCCGGGAGATCATCCTGGGGCCCAGTTCAGCCTATACTCAGACCCAGTTCCACAACCTGAGGAATACCTTGGATGGCTATGGTATCCACCCCAAGAGCATAGACCTGGACAATTACTTCACTGCCCGGCGGCTCCTCAGTCAGGTGAGGGCCCTGGACAGGTTCCAGGTGCCGACCACTGAGGTCAACGCCTGGCTGGTCCACCGGGATCCAGAGGGGTCTGTCTCTGGCAGCCAGCCCAGCTCAGGCCTCACCCTCGAGAGTACCAGTGGCCTCCAAGATGTGACAGGCCCAGACAACGGGGTGCGAGAAAGCGAGACGGAGCAGGGATTCAGTGAAGATCTGGAGGATTTGGGAGCTGTAGCCCCTCCGGTCAGTGGAGACCTAACCAAAGAGGTTAGTGACCACACGTCGGGGTGGGTGAGAGGGGACTGGGGGTGGGGGGCTGGTTCTGAAGGAGCGATATCACAGTACTGACCGCTGTGAAGAACTGGAGTGGCATGGGAGGGGATCTCAGGCATTGTTCTTTGGCAGGAATGAGCTGAATTGTCTGACCAGGACAGTGGGGTGGGGGCGGGAGCATTTCCTTGTGTTGAACCATTGACCCACCTCTAAATGTACCGGCAGGGCAGTGGGAGGTTCCTAGAACATGCCAGCGTGTTTACTGCTTGGATTTCAACACAACTGCTGGAGGCCCCGGGGTGGGGGAGGGAGTGGTGTTGTGATGGGCTTTGATGCGGTGTGTATCTGTTGCTAAGACACAGATACATCATGGACTCTTGCCTTGTACCTCCCCCACATCAAAACACACATGCATATCCTGAAATTCTCCTCCTTTGTGGTCAGGCCTGTTGTTGTAAGGTCCTTGATAAGTCAGCTCTCCTGGGCCCGAGCCAAGGGGCAGATTTAGATAGTTATTCTTGGCCAGGAGAGGGCCAAGGCTCCCATTCCTTGCTGGAGGCCTGCTGCGGGGAGTAGGGAGGAGAGGGCTGGGAGCTAGAAGAGAAACTGCCTTCTGCCACCTCAGTCAGCTTGCTTGGAGCTGTCAGAGGCCTTCGGCTCCTGACGCGTGTCTGACACATTGTTCGAGGCAGAAAGTGAGGCACTTGCCTTTGTGGAGGTGAACGGCTCCTGCTGCTCCCACTTCACCAACGTGATGTTAAAACCACTTTGAGCTCTGTGTTTGGGCCAGGCCTGGCCACTCAGCCTTAAGGAGCTTGAGAAAAGGCCTGCTGCACTCTCCTCGCCATTAGGGAAAGGGAAGGCTGGATTGCGCTGGGCCGGGTTTTCCAGAGCCCAGTCCTGGGGAGGAGGGGTGGTATGTAGAAAGTTTTACAGGTGCTACAGATCTTGGGTCTTTTTCTGCCTACCAGTCTGACCAGGTTCTGTCTCCTGTCCTGCAATTGAGCCCGTTACTGAGTTCATTTCTTTGAATGTTAGTGGCTGTCAAAGCTTGTGGCTTCCTCTGGGCGGGTGGTGTTCCATGGGGGTGATTTTGCCTGTCCAGGGGACAGATGGCCATGTGTAGAGACAGTTCTGGTTGCCACAACTGCAAGAGGTGCCGTTGGCGTCTAGTTGGGATGCTGCGAAACTTACTAAAAAGGGACAGGCCCCCGACGGCAGAGGGATCTGGCCCCACATGTCTTAGTGCCAGGGCTGCTCTCTGCTCAGCTGCCTCACGCCGGATCTGCTTTGAGAGGATCAGATAATCTAGAAGTATCTGAGCACGGGAGCTGTGAGCGTTCCTTACCTCGCAGTGCCTCAGTTCCTAGATTCTTCAGTGCCACTGGGAACTTTACCTTTTTTCTGTTCCTCTGTCCTTTTCCTTCAAATGGGCTTTAGTCTTGGCATGGTGGTCTGAAGAAGTATGCATCCCAGCCTCCGTCTCCGTCCTCCTGCCCTCATGTGGCTCCCCAAGGGCTGGCTGTGTAACTGGGCTTGCTCCTGGCAGCTCTGCAGGTGAAGCTCCAGTCCCCTTCCTGTTTGGAGCTCTCCTGGGACACGATGGGGTGGGAAGGATGGAAGTCACGGCTGGGTTGGGGCAGAACAGGATGAGACTTAGACCCTGCTTTCTTCCATTTCTTGGCCTTCATGGAGGTTGTGCTGTCCCTGACCCCAGGCCTTCTCTGCTCCCTTTGGGGGTTGGGGGTGGGTCAGAGGGCCCTAGGCTGGGTGTGGGGGAAGGGAGGATTATTTCGCATCTAGAACAACATTTCCTCAGCAACTCAGGGATAAAAATACCCAGGTCCAGAGCATGTGACAGGCGCTGCTGGAGCTGGTATTCTCCCCCGGGGTGGCAGCGCTCCCCCGCCACCAGGCCGCTTCCACGGACAGCCCGAGCCCAGGCCCTTGTCAGGGATAGGATTCCCCTGGAGGTTGGCATTCCGCCCAGAGCAGGGGGTGGCTTGCGTACAGCTCTTCCCAGTGAGGAGCAGTCTGTGACCAAGGAGAACATACTGTCCCTGACCTGACCTTAGGCTCGAGGGGTGCAGCAGTGAGGATGGATGGTGGAACTGTGCTGCTGATTCTGTGGGTGCCGTTTTCCTGGCGTTAGGGTTGTGGGCTGGGGGCTGCCAGAGCAGCTCTTGAACAAAGCTGGGGTGAGGGGGGCGCGTGGCGCACACGTGCGGCCAGGATGTGGGGGAGCATCCGGCTCCTTGGGGTATGGCCTTCAGGCTCGGGCTCCCTCCTCCTGCCTGGGGCAGGCCTGGCCGTCACTGTGACCTCTCCGCTTGTGTGCGGGCGGCTGTCCTTCCTGTCCTCTGGCCTAGGGTCGGGGGACAGAGCCTCTGGCTCCCAGCGGGGCTGGGTGCAGGGTGGGTCCTTGCCCAGCCTGGCTTGGGATCCTTGGGCTTCAGGACGACCGGCCACAGCCCTGCTGAGGAACAGGAGAACTCCACTTCTAGGGAAGAGCTAGATTCCCCGAGAAGCTGCGGGAGTGGTTTCTGCCCGGTCCTGAGTGGGCTGGGGAAGGCAGGATGCGACAGGAGGGAGAGGGGCACCCCTTCCCCCCAGGGCTCTCTCACTGCGCCACCCCGGCTGGCTGACTGGGCTGGGTGGGGCTGCCCGCCCCTGGGTGCGTCTCCTTGAGGAGACGGAGGCGGCCCAGGGATGGGCTGGTTCCTTGCGGCAGCTCCTCCAGCTGCCCTGGTGCAGAGATTGGCTCCCGGCTGCAGCTAGGTAACAGGCGGTGGGAGGGGATTGGCTCCTTCCGCATCTCCAGCGGAGACTTGGGGGAGGAGATTGGCTCTCGTCGCAGCCTAGGTAACGACGGTGGGAGGGGATTGGCTCTTTCCGCAGCCCAGCTGCTGACCTGGGGGAGGGGATTGGCTCTCCGCAGCCTCAGCAGTGACCTGCGGGTGGGAGGGGGAGGGGATTGGCTCCTTGCTGCAGCCTAGGTAACAAGTTTGGGGGGCGTGGGGAGGGGGAGAGAGGGAGGAGCGGGAGGCTAGGCCCCGGAGGGAGCTGGCTCTCCTCTGCAGCTTGAGCACGGAGCATGGGGTGGGAGTCCCATCTCACTGCAGCCTCTGCGGTGAGCTCAGGGTGGGGGCTGCCGGGTGCCTGAGTGGAACTGGGGTTGTGAGGTGGGAGGGGGCTGCTCGAGGATGGAGGAAGGGGGCTGGGCTGGGCCGCCCAGGCGGCAGCACGGGCGGGGCACCCTCCTCGGGCCCCTTGAAGCTAGCAAGGGGCCACCCTTCCAGCCTGGCGTGCTCCCTGCAAGCCAAGAGCTCCTTGCAGCCCCCTGTCCGGCTTCCCGGCACCAGCTGCCCTGGGGCTCATCTTGCAGACCATGACCCGCCTGGACCGCAGCTCTCACAGTGGTGGGGGCCATGCCAAAGGGAGCCGGCCCCTTAACTCTTTGCTGGCTGGGCACCGGGTGGCCCAGCCCCCCTCTGCTCCTGGGTCCAGGGCTTCTGTTCAGGTTGGTGTATGTGGGGGAGACTAAAGGGAGAGGTACACCTGGGAGGTCTTGGGATCTGGGAGGGTTACAGTGGGAAAGGGGTGCCTGGTCAGGACTTGGGGGTGGGTCTCATGTAAGGAAATTGCTTTCTGGAAAGTGCTTTTTGAATCTCTGAATGGAAGCCAGGAGTTCAGGGTTTCTTCAGCCACAGGGGGATGGCATGTGTAGGAAGGCCAAATGGCTCTTATTTATTGGGGTTCTATGCTGGGGGCTTTGGGGGTGGCAGTTGGTGCAGGAACTGATAGGAGCCACCAGGGCAGAGTGGGAAGGAGGCATTTTGGTGGCTGAGGTGGCAGTTGTGGCTGAGCGGTGATGGGGCCCATGTCCTTGAGTGGGTTGACTGATGGAGCGGCAGTGAGGCCTGGGGTGTGGTGGGGAAGGGAGTGAGAGTGCTGGTGTGAGGGGACACCAGGGGCCGGCCTTGGCAGGGGTGGGGAGCCCAGTGAGAATCAGCTGACTGCCTGAGGCTCTCCTGAGACGGAAGCAGCTTGCTAGGATCAGCTGAGAGTGGGAATTCTGGCAGGGATGGATCTTGAGGTGAGCCTGGGCTTTAAGAGTTGTGGGTGTCCAGCCTGACTCCTGCCTCAGCCAGGGAAGGGGAACGGCCGTAGGACGGGCCGGAGGCGGTGGCCGTTGTCACTGGCGGCAGCAGGTGGTTGCAAATGCAGGGATTTTCCTTTCTGGCCCACCCCACCCCTTTATGCAAATGAAATGGCACCACAGGCTGATGCAAGCCTGGCCACCTCGGAGTAATTCTGCGTGACAGTTCGCCCTTGCCTGGCCGGGCCAGCGTCCTACAACAAACCCGAGTTCGAAGGGATTCTCATTCCCAGAATGAGAAGTGTCTCCTGCTTCCTTCCCCCTTCTTTCTGGTGTAGCGGTGAGGTGGCCCTGCCTTTTGGCCTGGCTGTATCTCTGGGCCTAAGCCCACAGGCTTGTCTGAGGTTGATCATGCTGGTAATTTTTGCTAGCTCTTGTTTTTGTTGTTGTTGTTGTTGTTCTTATTTTTTATGGAGGCTGGTATCCGGAAATGGATGAATGAAGCCTTGTTGGTACAGAGGGGACAGAGGCTGGGAGAGCTGCCCCCACTCCCAGGTCTAATCAGAGTGATGGCTAGGAAAGTCCCCTGGATCCAAGAGCTAAAGTCACGGTGATCTGTCTTTCAGGACATAGATCTGATTGACATCCTTTGGCGACAGGATATTGACCTGGGGGCTGGGCGTGAGATTTTTGACTATAGTCATCGCCAGAAGGAGCAGGATGTGGATAAGGACGTGCGAGATGGAGCGGAGCAGGAGGACACCTGGTCAGGCGAGGGCGCAGAAGCTCTGGCGCGAAACCTGCTAGTGGATGGAGAAACTGGGGAGAGCTTCCCTGCACAGGTACCCCCACCTCTGCCCACTTCTAGAAACATCTCCTTAGAGAAGGCAGCTTCTGTCTGTGGGTTAAACCTGAATATATCTTTTCGGTTGGGGTCTCTAAGTCACTTGGGCTGAGGAAGGGGGAGTGGATGAGCAACAGAAGCAGAGGGGCCAGGCCTTGGTGACAACCAGCAGGGAGGAAGCAAAGCATCTAGCAGCTTCCTGTTTGTCAGGAATCTTCCACTCTCCCTCTGGTCTTTCCTGGAGTTTGGGATGCAGGGCCAGCCATCATCCTGGGCACAGAGGGAGAGTGTAGGCCTGCAGCTGTTCCGGCCCTCCTTTGGCTTCCCTGAAGGCTGGGGAAAGGCTGGGGCAGAGGCTTCGGCCCGCAGGCGGCCGAGGCCCAGGTCAGTCAGACTTATGGTTGCTGTTGCCACAGGTGCCTGTTGGGGAGGACCAGACGGCCCTGTCCCTGGAAGAGTGCCTTAGGCTGCTGGAGGCCACCTGCCCCTTTGGGGAGAATGCTGAGGTGAGCAGGACTCCAGGGAGCACCCACCGAGCCAGCAGGGCAGCCTGCACGCCGTGTGTCCCTCTGCGGCTGTCCGAGGGGCCAGCCCCTGGGGCTGGCCTGCTCCTGGCTGCAGGGGTGAATTCAGAGGAAGGAGGAGACAGAACCTCAGCTGGTAGTCTCTGGGAGGAACGCGACAGTGGTCTTGTCTTCCCCTCGTTAAAATCTCTGTGTTTTGCCCTAGTTTCCAGCAGACATTTCCAGCATAACAGAAGCAGTGCCTAGTGAGAGCGAGCCCCCAGATCTTCAAAACAACCTCTTGTCTCCTCTCCTGACGGGGACGGAGTCGCCATTTGATTTGGAGCAGCAGTGGCAAGATCTCATGTCCATTATGGAAATGCAGGTAGGATCACCCGAACAGGACGCAAACCTCTCAGGCAGGGGCGCGGGTGTTCCCATTCAGCTGCGAAATTTTTCTCCTCTGGGAAGAGAAAGGAACAATTCTCTCATCCGTTGGAAAGTGGGGACACTGAGAGGTCATTGTCCAGGTGTCTCCTTGGGGTAGGGGGTGCAGTCAGGATGCGGGGTTCGGGTTAGAGCTGAGCCTTCTGAAACAGGACTGTCCCCTAGGTATGCCTTCTTCCTTCGAGGTAGATAATCGCTTGAGCGCGTGCTTCCAGCTCTAGCGCTCCTACAGCCGGACACTGGTGCGGTGTGTTTGCGGCTGGGGCTGGCTCCTGCCCCTTATGGTCATCTAGTCAGGCCTTTGTTATTTTAAAGGTGAGGAAATTGAAGCTCAGAGAGGTTAAGTGATGTGCCCGTGGTCCCAGGGCAGGTGGTACAGCTGGGCTTTGTCCCTCCAAGGCTGGGTGTTCTTGGCTGTGCAGATTTTACAGAGGAGAGGTAGGCAGGGTTGTGTGTTTTCCTTGCCTCTCTCTCGGAGGTAGGGAGTCTGGCCAAACACAGCTGGGAGCTGGGCAGCCCTGCGTTGGGTGGGGTCCATCCATATCTGCCAGGCCTCGTAGGCCTGGTGGACCGAGCAGGACTGGGAGTTGACCCTGGGCTCTGGATTCCAGTCTCTCGCCTTCCCACCACGCAGCTGTGCCTGTGCTGGGTGCTTGCTGCCATGCCCCCCCCCCCCCCCCCCCCCTGCCAGCCCAGGGAGAGGGCGTCTGCTCAGAATGAACCGTGACGCTGTTTTCCCCTGCCAGGCCATGGAAGTGAACACTTCGACCAGTGAGATCCTGTACAGCACCCCTCCTGGAGACCCCCTGAGCACCAACTACAGCCTTGCCCCCAACACTCCCATCAATCAGAATGTCAGCCTGCATCAGGCGTCCCTGGGGGGCTGCAGCCAGGACTTCTCACTCTTCAGTCCTGAGGCGGAGAGCCTGCCTGTGGCCGGCAGCTCCACGCTGCTCCCGCTGGTCCCCAGCAACTCCACCAGCCTCAACTCCACCTTTGGCTCCACCAACCTGGCGGGGCTCTTCTTCCCGCCCCAGCTCAACGGCACGGCCAATGACACGGCAGGCCCTGAGCTGCCCGACCCACTGGGTGGCCTGCTGGACGAAGCCATGCTGGACGAGATCAGCCTGATGGACCTGGCCATCGAGGAGGGCTTCAACCCCGTGCAGGCCTCCCAGCTCGAAGAGGAGTTCGACTCTGACTCAGGCCTCTCCTTGGACTCCAGCCATAGCCCTTCCTCCCTGAGCGGCTCCGAAGGTAGCTCTTCTTCCTCCTCTTCCTCCTCTTCCTCCTCTTCCTCTTCCTCTTCCTCTGCTTCTTCTTCAGCTTCTTCCTCCTTTTCTGAGGAAGGTGCTGTTGGGTACAGCTCTGACTCTGAGACCCTGGATCTGGAAGAGGCCGAGGGCGCTGTGGGTTACCAGCCCGAGTACTCCAAGTTCTGCCGCATGAGCTACCAGGACCCGTCGCAGCTCTCCTGCCTGCCCTACTTGGAGCACGTGGGCCACAACCACACGTACAACATGGCGCCCAGCGCCCTCGACTCCGCCGACCTGCCACCGCCCGGCGCCCTCAAGAAAGGCAGCAAGGAGAAGCAGGCCGACTTCCTAGACAAGCAGATGAGCCGGGACGAGCATCGAGCCCGAGCCATGAAGATCCCCTTCACCAATGACAAAATCATCAACCTGCCGGTGGAGGAGTTCAACGAGCTGCTGTCCAAGTACCAGCTGAGCGAGGCCCAGCTGAGCCTCATCCGCGACATCCGGCGCCGGGGCAAGAACAAGATGGCGGCGCAGAACTGCCGCAAGCGCAAGCTGGACACCATCCTGAACCTGGAGCGGGACGTGGAGGACCTGCAGCGCGATAAAGCCCGGCTGCTGCGGGAGAAGGTGGAGTTCCTCCGGTCCCTGCGGCAGATGAAGCAGAAGGTCCAGAGCCTGTACCAGGAGGTGTTTGGGCGGCTGCGGGATGAGAACGGGCGGCCCTACTCGCCCAGCCAGTACGCACTCCAGTATGCCGGGGACGGCAGCGTCCTCCTCATTCCCCGCACCTTGGCCGACCAGCAGGCCCGGCGACAGGAGAGGAAGCCAAAGGACCGAAGAAAGTGAGCCTGGGGAGGAGAGGGGGGTTGACGCTCACCGGGATGGAAACTGGAGAAGGGCTGGACCTGGACCTACAGGGGGACTCGAATGCCTTCTTATCCAATAGATCTCAGATGGGATGAACTGCCGGTCAGTGGACAGGAAGAGGAGGGCGCAGGCGCTGTCTGGCTCAGCTTCCCCCTGTGGGGCGGGGAAGGGGGGCGGAAGCAGCCAGACCGTTTGGGTGGACAGGGTCCTCGCCCCTGCTGTTTCCTTTGAGGGAAGGGGTGGTGCTCGCATTGCTGGAGGCCGACCAAGGGGAAAGGGGGGAATCTTGTGAGAGGAAAGTCCTAGAAAGTCTCATTCTTGGAAAGAAGAAAGGAGGGAAGGGAGGAAAGAAGGGGGATTAAAAAAAAAACCCCAAAAAAAATCAAAGCGGGAAGAAAATCAAAGGGCAGGTTAAGGTTGGCTCTGCCAGAGTACCAGAGGGCAGGTTTAGGTGGGACTAGGCCCTAGGCAGGAGTAATCCCCACTTCACCCCGGGGGAGGGTGGAACACAAGGTAGGATCTGGGAGGGGCCTTGTGGGCTCTTTTAGCTCCTGCCCTGTGGAGCCCCAAAGGGGAGCTCTTGGGTGTGTCCTGTAATGTTTTCATTTGTAGGGGAGCCACTGGGACCCAACACTCGCTTGAGGAGTTAGGGTCAGAGAGGGAACAGGAAAGGGTCACGAGGCCCCCGTGCCGTGTTGCAGCAGCCCCAACACCAAGCATGTCCTTCACTGCCCTGCCACTCCCATCTCCCTCTGTGCCCGGTCCCCCCTGAGCTGAGGCACCCACGTTTCCATCCGAGCCTGCATGCGAAGGCTGTTCTCTGCCCGCCTGTGTGCCCCTGCCCCTCCCCGCTGCCTGGAGCTCTTCTGCAGCTGGGGCGCTGGCAGTGCCCCCAGTGCTGAGCCTGTGGCCTCCTGGGGGCTACTCTGAGGCAGGGGGATGATGTGGACAAGCCAGGCAGTATTCAGCACAAACTGGGGAGTGACACTTCCCTCAGGCCTCCCCTACCAACAACTGGGCATGTCACTGGAAGACAAAAAAAAACCCACAAAACCCAGCAACAAAAACTAGTCCTTTTAGAATTTCTTGCGCTTTGATTTTTTTTAGGGCTTGAGCCCCGTTTCACTTATAGGGTCTAGAATGCTTGTGTTGAGTAAAAAGGAGATACCCCAATATTCAAAGCTGCTAAATGTTCTCTTTGCCATAAAGACTCCGTGTAACTGTGTGAACACTTGGGATTTTTCTCCTCTGTCCCGAGGTCTCTGTCTGCCTTTTTTTTTGTTAGTTTGTTTCTTTCTAGGAGAATGAGAAGTGCATGTAATGGGGGCTGAGAGCACCTACCCCCAGGCTCTCGGCCATAGGCTGCTTCTCTATACCCCCCAGTTTAGTAAAGACCCCAGTCAGGAGGATTGCCTAGGGGAGGCAGAGAGGGGAGCAGCGCCAAGGTGGCCAGATGGTTCCAGGACCACAGTGTCTTTATTTTTAACTCTTTGCCACTGCTGCCCCCACCCCTGCCTGGCTCTGGAGTACAGTCAGCTCCAGACTAGCAGGAGTGAGTTGTGGGAAGAGAAGTGCCAGATTCTCCTCCCCGCTGGGGGGGCAGGGGGAAGCGGGGTGTTCTGAGCAGTGGGGATACAAGGCACGAGCCTGGGAAGTGCTTTTATAAATTATTTTCCTTGTAGATTTTATTTTTAATTTATCTCTGACCTGCCAGGGAGAGGAGAGGGGAGAGAGAGAGAGAGAGATGCTGTGAGCACATGACAAAATAAAATAAAATGGATGATTCATTCTGAAGTGCAATTTTTCCCTATTTTGAATTCAAATTGAGTAAAAGACCCCAGGAGGGAGAACTGGCCATTGTGTGGCTAAGGCAGAGCTCACAGGGGAAGGTGGGTGGAGAACAGGAGAGGTTGACAAATTTAGAAAGACAAAAAAGTCTAAGTACCCTATTAAACCTTCTGAGCAGTGCTGGTACCTCTTCACAGGGTTCTAACTGAATCCTGGGGGGGAGAGGGGGGATGACTTAGAATCCTTTTTGGGCTTCCCTAAGGACTAGGCGAGGTGGAGGTGCTGTCCTCTGGCCCAGCTCCTTGTCCACTTATGAGTCAGTGCATCTTTAATGGTGAGCATGCTGTCCTTTCTCTGCTGGCCCCACCCACCAAAGGGGTGCAAAGCATGGGAGAGCAGCCACACCAATGACCGAGACAAACCCTGAGAAATCCACGAGACCAACACAGGCCCAAGACTTGAGCGTAAGAGCAGGACCATAGAACTAGAGAAGCAGGAAGCCAGACTCCAGGGTTTAAGGCATCTGAAAGGCTCCCAGCGGAGGTGAACAGAATCTGTTCTCTCTCAAAACACGTGCTTTAATATCAAGCCTACGAAGAGCTGGGTGCTTGCTGGAGCCGCCGCCACACACTGGGTAAGTGCCTAGCAAATGTGAGGAACAAATGCTCACCTGGCAGCCTGTGACATTACCAGACAAGATTTAGGACCAGAAGCTGTGATTCCCCATTGTGGAACCTCCCGTGTACCCCTTGTGACCTGGCCTAGCCCCATAGTCCTTTTTTTTTTTTTTTTTAAAGATTTTTAAAATTTATTTATTTGACAGACATAGATCAGAGAGAGAGAGGAGGAAGCAGGCTCCCTGCTGAGCAGAGAGCCTGATGCGGGGCTTGATCCCAGGACCCTGGGATCATGACCTGAGCGGAAGGCAGAGGCTTAACCCACTGAGCCACCCAGGCGCCCCGCCCCGTAGTCCTTTAATGGTGCTACCGGAGTGTCCGAAGGGGTGGAACAGAATTCATAACATCAATTTATTGGTTTCAGTTTACACTGGCTTTTGTTGTTGTTAAACCCCCATCTAGTTGGAAAGCATCCTCAAACGAGCTTTTTCCTAATTAGGAATTAGCTAATGTCTGGAAGCCAGATAAAACCAAGATTCTTGAAAAAAGAGTAAGACTAAAAATTATGTTTGAAAAACTTTAATTCATCCTGATAAAAAATACAAATTATATATAGAAGAGTAAATTGTGACAAGTAAAACTCAGTCATGTTTTTGTACCCCTTCTAGAAATGTGTGTATGTATTTTTAAGTACACAATTAGGCTGTAACTTTTATCTTTGCAATTTTAACCTAACACATTTAAATGTTTTTTTTTTTTTAAGATTTTTTATTTATTTGACAGATCACAAGTAGGCAGAGAGGCAGGCAGGCAGACAGGAGGAAGCAGGCTCCCTGCTGAGGAGCGAGCCCGATGTGGGGCTCGATCCCAGGACCCTGAGATCATGACCTGAGCCGAAGGCAGCGGCTTAACCCACTGAGCCACCCAGGTGCCCCCAATTAAATGTTTTTTAAGAGAAAAAAAAATCATCTCTCACCCTCTTAAGTGCTGCCCCTGCTCTGAGAAAGTACATTTTTGCCACCCTTCCCCCACGTCCCCTTATGGAGAGATGTACAGTTGTGTCTAGGATCCTGCTGATTAGCTGGGGCTTTGAGCCAAGTTGGTCAGCACTTACTGTGGGGTTGACCTCTTTCTGCCGCTGGCAGGTGGAGTGGGTGCTTCAGCTTTTTCTGGCAGGAAGAAGACAGGAGGACTTGAGTAGTAAGGCCTGTCAGAGAAGCTGCTACACCTCAGACAAGTGAGAAGAGGTCCTAGACTCGGCAGGGAGATGAGCAGGCCTCAGGCTTAACTGCGGACCAGACTTAAAGGTGACCTGCCCAAGTGGGAGCGGAAGCCTGGCTTTGTCTTGACTCTAGTACTGGGCTCTGTCCAAGGCGATTTCTCCCCACATCCTAATTCACATGGGCATTCTGAAGTACACCCCTTGTTTCAGCCTCTGCCCTACACAGATCTCACCAGTGAGGCTGGGGTCAGTATTTCAGTGTCACTAAAAATAGAAGAAATCCAGAACTGAGGGGGAAGGTAGTGAGCTAGAGAATGCTCAGTGTCCCCAAGCCCTGGCCTCCACGGTGGACTCCCGCCCAGACCGGGGAAAGCTGGACAGCAACCCGCCAGCCAGTGACTGGGGAGGACTCAGCACGCAGCCCGGCCTTCCTCAGGCAGCCCTCTTAAAAAGTACTAACCCGGGGCACCTGGGTGGCTCAGTGGGTTGAAGCCTCTGCCTTCGGCTCAGGTCATGGTCTCAGGGTCCTGGGATCGAGCCCCGCATCGGGTTCTCTCTGCTCAGCAGGGAGCCTACTTCCCCTTCTCTCTCTGCCTGCCTCTCTACTTGTGATCTCTCTCTGTCAAATAAATAAATAAAATCTTTAAAAAAAAAAAAAAAAAGGTACTAACCCCACCACCTTCAGGTCTCCTACCGCATCCAGGAGGCACCGACCTAATTCTACAACTTCAGCTCCAACTAACCAGTCCGATGGCACCACCAGCAAGAAGTCCATCTCATTACTGACAACCCGCACACAAGCACAGGCAGCAGACTGCTGGCGGCCTCCCTGCAGGTCACTCTCCCGACCGAGTGTGGAAACTGTCCAGCAAAACCCACAAGCTTCATTAACATGAGTGGCTAAGCCTTGTTTTCTTATCACTTGGACCCATCAGGGAGATGAAAGGGACTCACAGACCTTCAATTTGTCATTCTGACAGCCTAACAAGAACCTTTCACCTTTCACTTTTCCCACAGAGGCCGCCCATCCTCCTTGCCTCTAGTTCTGAACCTCATAGTGGGGGAGCTTGGTATACACGTGGAGCTTAACACCTGGTTTGAGTTCTGACCCTTGTTCTGTCCAGGACTTCACAGTTCATGTCCACCTGGATTAGCGGACAAACAGAATCCAGCACACAGACTGTCCAGAGGAGTTCGGGACCCAGTAAAGAGGTGTGTTCTCAAAATCAGTTGGATAGAAACACTTGTCTTCCTCTCTGAGCAAACAGGAATATTACAGAAGTCTTAAAGCCGGTTCTTTTCCAGTCTAACTGCAGAATGGAGAGAGGTTGCACGGTTATTTGTTACTTAATTTCAGATGCTATTTCGACCAGGGAAACAAAACCTAGTTTATACTTGGGAGGAGGCAGGGAAAAGGCTAAGGAGATGGTGATTTTAAACACGAATTTAATTAGGCTAATTCAGTTGTCTTTTTTTTTTTTTTTTTTTTTAAAGATTCTATTTACTTATTTGACAAAAAGAGATAGTGAGAGAGGGAACACAAGCAGAAGGAGTGGGAGAGGGAGAAGCAGCCTTCCCACAGGGCAGGGAGCCCAATGCGGGACTTGATCCCAGGATTCTGGGATCATGACCTGAGCCAATGGCAGCTGCCTAACAAATGAGCCACCCACTCAGTGGATTAAAGCTTCTGCTTTCGGCTCAGGTCATGATCCCAGAGTCCTGGGATCGAGCCCCACATCGGGCTCTCTGCTCCGCAGGGAGCCTGCTTTCTCCTCTCTCTCTGTCTGCCTCTCTGCCTACTTGTGATTTCTGTCTGTCAAATGAATAAATAAAGTCTTAAAAAAACAAAAACAAAAACGAATGAGCCACCCAGGCGCCCCAAGTTGTCTTAGACCTTAGTCCTCAGCTAGGGACTGAAGTAGCAATTTAAACAGTGAGCCAGTGCCCCACGGCTAGCCCCCAAGTTGCCCAGTGGGGTAAACAGTGGCTCTGGTACTACCACAAACCACCAAGGTTACAAAGCAAATCTGGACACGCTACTAAATATTTAAACACAAGCTATTTAATATAAGCAACAACTACAGAACCAAATCATCAGTATAGATTGTAAACTTACTGTTTCAGCCTTGCCTCATAGTCCTGCTGCCTCACTGGCCTAAGGTTAAAAAGAGAAAAAAAAAAAAGCAAAGCCCTAGAAAACGGAATACTTGCTCTACCTGCCCCCACTGAGCAGGACCAAGTATGGTTTTCATCCCAGTGCAAGGCTTTCAAGATTAAGCAGTTTATTCAGTGGGAAGCTCCCAAGGCCAAGGTCAATTAAAAGTCATCCATAGAAGACAGCTGAGCAACTGTGAACACATTGGTTAGAACAGCAGTAACTTCTGAAGAAAACCTCAGTGCTGGACAGTCAAACCGAGGTGATATGCAGATCACAGCCTAAGGATTGTCTGTGGAATCTTTAAGCTCCACCATCACCAAGCTTCCGTAGCCACACACCAGAACACCCAGATGCCTCTGCCCAGATTGGTTCCTACTGCTAAAAAGCAAGATGAAGCCAAGATACCTTCCTTTACTAAAGCTGAATGCGGGCCTGGTAGCAATACTTGTATTTTCAGTCATATGCTAGAGGAGAAACACTAGTCTGTACTTAGTTCCGCCCTATCACTCTGAATTTTAAACAAGGTCTTTTTATCCTCCCAGAAATACCCAACTTACAAATCAGATTAATACTAGCATCGGAGACACGTGATCAGGTTCATTTGATCTCAGACAGAAACCGGGTCCATACATAGTTTAGGATCTGGAGCCACTGTAGAAAATTTGGATTTCAGAGTTCTAGTTCCACCAATTATCTTGGAGTAGCAGTTTCCTCTCATTTCCCCTCTCTCTGTAATGGAAGCAGTGACTATAACACACATTCCCACTGTCACAAGCCATAAAGATGTCCTGAGCACGTAAGGCCAAACAACAAGTGGCCATGTCAAAATCAAACTGACCCGAGCTGGAGTGAATTCTAGATTATAAGATTATATCTGAAAGTAAGTACTTAAAAACTCAACTATTAAAAAGTATTTATAATTAGACCAAACTTTCAAATGACACAGAAACAATGATTCCTGAGCACTGTCAGCTGACAGACTGCCTCAGTGG